GCTTTTTTTTTTTTTTTTTTTTTAATAAGATTGTCGGCCACATGTATGTTTTTTTTTTTTTTTTGTCTGTTCATGTCCGTTGCCCATTTTTTTTTTTTTTTTTTTCTTATACATTTAAGTTCTTTTTATTTTTTTTTTTTTTTACCTTTGTTGGATGCATAGTTTGCATTTTTTTTTTTTTTTCTGTGTTCTTGGCACCTTTGTCAAATTTTTTTTTTTTTTTGATGTGTAGATTTGTTTCTGGACTCTCTATTCTGTTCCACTGGACTATGTGTCTGTTTTTATACCTTTTTTTTTTTTTTTTGGTTACTATAGCTCTCTATTGAAGTTTTTTTTTTTTTTTTCCTCCAGTTTTGTTATTTTTGCTGTTTTTTTTTTTTTTTATTCTTGGTCTTTTGTGGATCTATATTTTTTTTTTTTTTTAAAAAAATTTCTGTGAAGAATGTCATTTTTTTTTTTTTTTGGATTGCATTGAATCTGTATATTGCTTTTTTTTTTTTTTTCATTTTAAAAAATATTGTCTTGAAATATATCAACATGGAGTATCTTTCTATGTTTTTGGGTCCTCTTTTTTTTTTTTTTTCAGTGTTTTATAGTTTTCATTGTAGTTTTTTTTTTTTTTTATTAAGTTAATTCCTAGGTATTTAATTTTTTTTTTTTTTTTTGATTTTATTTCAGATTGTTCCCTTTTTTTTTTTTTTTTCGCTACCAATTTTGTACATTGATTTTGTATCCTGCAACTTGACTGAATTTGTTTATCAGTTCTAATTTTTTTTTTTTTTTGTCTTTAAGTTTTTAAAATGTCATTTTTTTTTTTTTTTTTAATATCATTTAGAAATCATTTCCAATTTTTTTTTTTTTTTCATTTGAGTATTTTCTTACTTCCTGGAACAAAAAGTATCCTGAGCTCATCTTGAACATTCTTACTCCTAGCCCTGGCATCAGCCATTTCTCTAAGGAGCTCTGATTCCCTTCAGTGGAAAATGATATTCATAAGCCAAGATCTAGTTTTTTTTTTTTTTTATTGCTATTAGAATGTCATTGTTATTTTTTTTTTTTTTTTGAGAGAAGTAGGGAATATATGTTTTTTTTTTTTTTTTTTTCACACACACACATGCATGCTTACAATTTTTTTTTTTTTTTTTTACATCTATCTATGTATCAACTGTTTTTTTTTTTTTTTTCATCTGTCTATCTATCCATCTATCTTTTTTTTTTTTTTTGAATGTACGCTGATACATCCATTCCTTTTTTTTTTTTTTTCGCCATAGGATTCTTGCTAGCTTTCTTTTTTTTTTTTTTTATGGCTCTTTCCTGTAAAAGTGACACACCTTTCTTCCAGTATACTTTATTTACTTATGTGATCAATTTTTTTTTTTTTTTCAACTCTCACCCATCCCTTCCCACTTTTTTTTTTTTTTTTCACCTCACGTGGGTTCTCCGTGCCCTTTTTTTTTTTTTTTGCTCTTGAAGGTCACATCTCTGTGTTTTTTTTTTTTTTTTTTGCTTGGGCTCCCACATCCAGGTCTTTTTTTTTTTTTTTGTGGATGCCTTCCCCAGCACCCTTGTTTTTTTTTTTTTTTCCACCTTGACTCTCTCCTCCACCTTTTTTTTTTTTTTTTTCGTGGCTGCAACCCACCTAATGGCTTTTTTTTTTTTTTTTAGAGGGGAAAGGAATGAATAAAAAAGGAAAATAAATGAGTGCTTTTAGACATGCTGCCCAATCAATTTTTTTTTTTTTTTTTTTTTATTCAGTGTTCATTGTATTTTTTTTTTTTTTTTTGGAAGATGGAATGCAAGATGTTTATTTTTTTTTTTTTTTTCTGTATTCCAGAAATGTCAGGGGAGTTTTTTTTTTTTTTTTAAATCAAAACTAATAATATGATAATTTTTTTTTTTTTTTTTACAAAAAATATATTCTTCAAAGATTTTTTTTTTTTTTTACGAATATTCTCTCCAAACAATGGTCAAAGTCACAGTAGATTAACTCTCACCTATTTTAATAATCTTTTTTTTTTTTTTTCAAAGGCCCCACACCAACAGTGACTTTTTTTTTTTTTTTTGTTTATTTGTTGGTTCTCAGTCATTTTTTTTTTTTTTTTTCTCTTTAGTGTGCAGGACAGCATCATTTTTTTTTTTTTTTAAGGGAATTTTATCTCTTTGCTTAATTTTTTTTTTTTTTTAGAATATTACAAATAAAACGTGATATTTTTTTTTTTTTTTAAGTCATCACGATAATTCTTATTTTTCTGAAAAATTATGGATCAAATCATTGATAAATATTTATTTTTTTTTTTTTTTTTAGGAGGAGTTGATAATGCTAACTAGTTTTTTTTTTTTTTTGTCCTATGAGAAGCAGAGAAACTGATTTTTTTTTTTTTTTACTTATCTGGTCACCTCCTTTATATTTTTTTTTTTTTTTTACTCTACACAGGCACTAGGAGAGCTTTTTTTTTTTTTTTTACCACCAACTACTCATGCAGTACACTTTTTTTTTTTTTTTTTTATTTCAAGGTTTTATTGACAAAGTAAATTGAGATCTCTGGTGTTCTGGGGCACAGCTTTCTTTTTTTTTTTTTTTTTAGTCCTTAGAATAACTCATTCTCCATTTTTTTTTTTTTTTCTTGACTCAACCTTTAGAACAATGGTTTTTTTTTTTTTTTGAAGGCCTTGGTTGCCTAATTTCAATTTTTTTTTTTTTTTTTAAACAAGCATATGGAGAATTAATTTTTTTTTTTTTTTTAGAAAAGATGGAAGCAAAGTAGAAATTTTTTTTTTTTTTTAAAAACGCTTTGCAAGCTTATAAAATTTTTTTTTTTTTTTATGTATCTTGGATTCTTCATACTTATTTTTTTTTTTTTTTAAATACTGGATAGTAAAAGCCCTCATTTTTTTTTTTTTTTCAAATATTTGTGGAGCACCGACTCTTTTTTTTTTTTTTTTCAAATTCTTGTGGACTTGTGTGTGTTTTTTTTTTTTTTTTTTTAAGTAAAAAGGATGAGTTTTAAAAATTAAATTCAGATTATTAGGTATAATGGCAAACTACTTTTTTTTTTTTTTTTTAAGTTAAATTTTTGTAGGTTAAAACTTTTTTTTTTTTTTTGAGTAGCTGTTGTACAGTTTAATTATTTTTTTTTTTTTTTACTTCCAGAGTCTAGTAACCCCTCCTTTTTTTTTTTTTTTAGTACAATGATGGGAAAGGTCTTCATTTTTTTTTTTTTTTTTTTTAACATCTCCTCTTGGCTTCCTTTTTTTTTTTTTTTAGGGTAGTTCTCAAGTTGTACAGTGTTTTTTTTTTTTTTTCCTATTGTCACTGAGTCACTCCTTCTTTTTTTTTTTTTTTACCAACAGAGTAACATTCTGATCTCAGTTCAGTGGGGGGAAAGCAAGTTGCCATGGATACAGAGAGTTGCCAGCCTGAGATGCCTGAGAGCTTGCCAGGGAATATTTTTTTTTTTTTTTTTGTGCCAGTGGCCCACTTTCTCTCATTTTTTTTTTTTTTTCCTGAATATATACATCGGAAAGCTATTTTTTTTTTTTTTTGCCATTGATGGATGGCAACCATCTCCATCCTCCTCCTCTCCCAAGCACAAAGTGAACTTAAGGGGTTTTTTTTTTTTTTTAATGCACCGGTGCTGGAAATAAGACTTTTTTTTTTTTTTTTAATATGAATCAATGACATCTATTCTTTTTTTTTTTTTTTGAAAAGATTTTAAATCTTTCTATAATTTTTTTTTTTTTTTCGTAAGGTCAAACAGTAAGGATAGCTTTTTTTTTTTTTTTTCCTTCATATTCACCAGAAATGCCTGAAATTAGTCATTCTCCACCTTGGCTTCATGTGAGAACCGTTTTTTTTTTTTTTTAAGTCACATTCTGGGTAAATTAGTTTTTTTTTTTTTTTTTATCGCAGGCGTCATGAATTTTTAAATTTTTTTTTTTTTTTCGATATACAGCTAGTGGTTGTGAACTTTTTTTTTTTTTTTGCGTCTACAGGCTCTGGTGATGGAGTTTTTTTTTTTTTTTACAGCCAGTTAATCATTGTACTTCATGACTATGCAGAACACTTCCTCTTTCCAACTGGCTTAAAATTTTTTTTTTTTTTTCTCAGGTTCAAAGAGACTGCACATATTTTTTTTTTTTTTTTCTGCATGGACTTTACGTGATGTTCTTTTTTTTTTTTTTTTTGAAGTCCAGAACTGAAGCATCCTTAATGATCAAAGATGGATCCAAAGACGTTCTTTGGTCCATTTTTTTTTTTTTTTTAAGATACGCATATTCTTTTAAAAAATTTTTTTTTTTTTTTTAAAAAAATTCTTAATACAACATACAGAAAGTGTACTGACCTGTGTTTCTTTACAAGGTTTGAAGTTTTTTTTTTTTTTTACTTTGATTATAGCAAGTTTCATGTTTTTTTTTTTTTTTTTCATGCCAATGCAGTTTCTGGGTCCAGTTCCAAAGGGTGTGTATATGTAAGGATCTATGCTGTCCTTGTTCTTCTTACTGAACCTAGTTCCATATTGGTAGATTATTTTTTTTTTTTTTTATAAAAACCACAGGGTTACATGTTATTTTTTTTTTTTTTTGAACCACCCCCCTCCACCTCCCAACTTTTTTTTTTTTTTTTACTTTTATGGGCTGGTCATTGAAATTTTTTTTTTTTTTTTTTGTTATAATAATCGAACCTACAGTTTTTTTTTTTTTTTCATACCCTATAGGAGCGTTCAGATTTTTTTTTTTTTTTTTAATGTTGTTGCCAATAAAATTTATCTTTTTTTTTTTTTTTTATATTCAGCGTGGTGATGTGTTCACACTATAAAAGATACATAAGTGATAAGACTGATGGATGCGTTTTTTTTTTTTTTTCTCAACTCACACTTATGTTGGTCACTTTTTTTTTTTTTTTAAAGGAGAAGGAGAAAGTGTCTTGTTTTTTTTTTTTTTTTTATTTTTCCCTTTCCTTCTCCTGTCTTTTTTTTTTTTTTTATTCCCCTCCTCCTCCTCTCCACCTTTTTTTTTTTTTTTTTCCTCTGCCTGCTTCTCCGCCTCCTTCTCTTCCTGGTTCTTCTGTCCATCTCTTCCTCTCTTTCTTTTTTTTTTTTTTTTTGAATAGTTTAAGTCGAATAATTTATTTTTTTTTTTTTTTCTACCCTACTGTAGTGTCATCACTGTTTTTTTTTTTTTTTTCCACTAGGCTGTAAATTCTTTGAATTTTTTTTTTTTTTTTATTCAAATTTGATTTCTAAATATTTTTTTTTTTTTTTTTAAAATTGTTGATCTGAGGAAAGTAATTTTTTTTTTTTTTTATGTTTTTACTGGAGTTCTTATATTTTTTTTTTTTTTTTTAAATATTTATAGACTATTGCTTCAAAATAACATAATAGGCAGGAGGAGGGTGGTGGTGGCGTTTGTTTTTTTTTTTTTTTATGGATTGATGGCTGTTGGAACCAGTGATAGATACATGGAGATGCACAAAAACTATTCTATAGGCTTTTTTTTTTTTTTTATACTTGTGTATATGTCAAACATTCTTTTTTTTTTTTTTTCACACACATATATATCATGGATTTATTTTTTTTTTTTTTTCATATGGATTCATGGATTTATATAATTTTTTTTTTTTTTTGGATTTATATAAATCATATGATTTATTTTTTTTTTTTTTTTATGATTTAGATTTATATAAATCATTTTTTTTTTTTTTTTATAAATCATATGATTTAGATTTACATTTTTTTTTTTTTTTAGATTTATATAAATGTCTACTGAGATTTTTTTTTTTTTTTCACAAGACTGCAGCCACAAACAGGATTTTTTTTTTTTTTTCTGTCTTGTGTCCTCAGTGACAGCCTTTTTTTTTTTTTTTGAGGACTTCTCAGGACCTCAGCCTGTTTTTTTTTTTTTTTCATAGAGGAAACAGCAAGCAATGTTTTTTTTTTTTTTTTTGTGGAAGCATGTTTTAAAGTTGCTGTTTTTTTTTTTTTTTTAAAGGGCACAGCATAGAAAAAACATTTTTTTTTTTTTTTCCTATACACCTGAAATAATTATCATTTTTTTTTTTTTTTTGGCATATGCAATATATACATATATATTTTTTTTTTTTTTTGTCAGTGGATAGTTTCCTGTTAAGTAAGCAAGAATTCAAATAAAAAGTGATACCATTCTAGTTTTTTTTTTTTTTTTTTTGCATAGAAAAATGCCCACAGGGACATTTTTTTTTTTTTTTATCTTAAGGTGCTGGGACTGTGGATTTTTTTTTTTTTTTTTTTTCTAGTCTGTGGTTTGTGAACTTTTTTTTTTTTTTTTTTTTTGTGATAAAAAGACTTACAAGTTTTTTTTTTTTTTTCCACACGATTGTCATGTAGATTAAGTTTTTTTTTTTTTTTTTGAACCAGCCTGGTTCAGGGTGAGTTTTTTTTTTTTTTTGCCTTGTACCTTTCAGGGCGGAACTCCTCAGGCTCTGTCCAGTACTTTGGGTCATGGTGAAGAGCTTTTTTTTTTTTTTTCACCATTGCCCCTTTGGGAATGAACTTTTTTTTTTTTTTTACATCTTTCTTGCAGGCCCTCTCAATTTTTTTTTTTTTTTGGAATAATCTGAGTGTTTCATTCACTTTTTTTTTTTTTTTCTCCATCTGTACCATGGCATCGTAGTTTTTTTTTTTTTTTGAAGAAAGAAACAGATTTGGATAAATTTTTTTTTTTTTTTAACTCTCAACTGACTCCATGCCGTATTTTTTTTTTTTTTTAAGTTCCAGAGAATAACTCATACTGTTTTTTTTTTTTTTTATTCGTGAAGTCTTTTAATAACTGTTTTTTTTTTTTTTTTGCTCAGTGACCTACTGAGCTGTATGGATGGGTTATGAATGTAGGAGATATTTAGGACCATCCTCATTTTTTTTTTTTTTTTCCCTAGCATGACCAAATAGTGATTTTTTTTTTTTTTTTTAAGAAATGTGATTAATGGGCTATGATTTTTTTTTTTTTTTAAAATACACAAAAGTCACTATCACCTTTTTTTTTTTTTTTATACATCTGTACCAAGAAAGAAAAATTTTTTTTTTTTTTTATATCCTGTTCACACAAGGATTATTTTTTTTTTTTTTTTTCTTGGTAATTCTTTTGAGGAATTTGTTTTTTTTTTTTTTTACATGGTGAGAACCCATCTCTACAATTTTTTTTTTTTTTTGCTGGGTGTGGCGGCGTGCGCCTGTTTTTTTTTTTTTTTTGGAGGCAGAGGTGGGAGGATGGCTTTTTTTTTTTTTTTTTACTTTGCAGTGAGCTGAGATTGCACTTTTTTTTTTTTTTTTGGGTCATAGAGTCAGAGACCCTGTTTTTTTTTTTTTTTTAATAAATAAATAAATAAATAAATAATTTTTTTTTTTTTTTTGTTCCTTTCTATCACAGATATGACTTTTTTTTTTTTTTTTTGGATGCTACCAAGGTATACAATTTTTTTTTTTTTTTTTACGAAGAGAATAGAACTCCACACTCTTTTTTTTTTTTTTTTTTTGGAACAGTCCCCTAGTTGTTGTTTTTTTTTTTTTTTGTAATCTTCAGGGCTGGATGTAAACTTTTTTTTTTTTTTTCCTCACTGCCACACCAGGGTCAGCCTTTTTTTTTTTTTTTCTTCACACCAAAAAGAATCCCAGTTTTTTTTTTTTTTTTTAAACTGGCTGATAGGTACCTAGCACTTTTTTTTTTTTTTTGGAGGCAGTATTGTAGAGGTTAAGATTTTTTTTTTTTTTTCAGATACCCTGGTTCCTAGCTTGGCTTTTTTTTTTTTTTTTACCTGACTGGAACATGATGAGAGATTTTTTTTTTTTTTTGAGTCAGCCTGCACCACGCCCCCAGGGCCAGGCCCCTTCAGACCACAGCCACACCAGAGCGAATCTTTTTTTTTTTTTTTGAGCTCACTGTCCAGTCTTGTGGGCTTTTTTTTTTTTTTTTTAGATGCCACTGAGGTTTTTGGATTTTTTTTTTTTTTTTTTACTTAGCATTATTATGGTAACAGTTTTTTTTTTTTTTTGGGTCAGCAATATTTTACAAAGATCTTTTTTTTTTTTTTTTAGCAACCATTCCCTATGTTTCTCCTTTTTTTTTTTTTTTCAGAGGTTTTCTGCATAGTGTCAGTTTTTTTTTTTTTTTTTATGCTTTTCGTAAAAATCCTCCTGTTTTTTTTTTTTTTTGCATTGTTCTCAGGCTTCACCTCTTTTTTTTTTTTTTTTTGGTCATCCCCTCACCTTATTGGGCATTTTTTTTTTTTTTTCCTCCTGCAGTTTCTGCTGGACATCTTTTTTTTTTTTTTTTTCATATATAATGAAGGAAAGAACATTTTTTTTTTTTTTTTAGCCAGCAAAAATGAAGATAATTGTTTTTTTTTTTTTTTCCTGATCAGACAGAGCTGAAAGGAGTTTTTTTTTTTTTTTGGTAAATCAGTTCAACGTACAACATTTTTTTTTTTTTTTTATCTAAGTGAAGCTCTCCAATCCCATTTTTTTTTTTTTTTAAAGCAATTCAGAGTCACACTGGAGGTGGTTTTCATTCTGATGTGTATCTTACACAGGGCCAGAATTTTTTTTTTTTTTTTTAATCCAGGTTTTCCCAAGGTCTGTTTTTTTTTTTTTTTTCCACTCCTCCTCATGGCACCCCGGTTTTTTTTTTTTTTTAATTTCCAGAGAGAGCATTTCTGTCTTTTTTTTTTTTTTTTATGGGTATGCGCCTTGGATGATCCTTTTTTTTTTTTTTTTGTAAGTAAATATGGGGTAGCCTTTTTTTTTTTTTTTTTTTGATTTTCTACAATAGAGCTTGACATTTTTTTTTTTTTTTCCAATATAGCTTGACAAACTTGAGATTTTTTTTTTTTTTTAGGACCTTTTCTCTATATATGTTTGTTTTTTTTTTTTTTTCCAATACTGAGCTACAGATCACCTCTTGCTACTCCAAGTGTGTTTCATGGACCAGCAGCACCAGTTTTTTTTTTTTTTTTATTAGAAATGCAGAATCTCAAACCCTTTTTTTTTTTTTTTGAATCAAAATGCAAACTTGCAGGAGTTTTTTTTTTTTTTTTGTACAACCTCACTTAAGCAGCATGTTTTTTTTTTTTTTTAGGCATCAGGCAATACAAGATCTAATTTTTTTTTTTTTTTATGGACTATCTCAGGGTGTGCAAGATTTTTTTTTTTTTTTAAAAGCCAGAAGCCTGGTGATTGACTTTTTTTTTTTTTTTGGCATTAATAAAATAGCAGAAGTTCTTTTTTTTTTTTTTTGGCCTCTCTCTTGATATTTCTCCTGTTTTTTTTTTTTTTTGATCCATCACTGGTCTGTTTGATCATTTTTTTTTTTTTTTCTGAAACACAGAAATAAATATGGTGTTTTTTTTTTTTTTTTAACTCACAACTGAACACAATATAATTTTTTTTTTTTTTTGGTCTATAGAGTTCTGATTTACCAGTTTTTTTTTTTTTTTGCTGCTATGGATAAATCCAACCATCCAATTATTTTATTCACTTACATTGAACCCCATTATACTGATTTTTTTTTTTTTTTTAATTTTAAAGTTGGGAGCTCTGCTTTTTTTTTTTTTTTTCACTATCCATCCATGGCTATTTAAATTTTTTTTTTTTTTTGTTAAAATTAAATACTCTTAAAAATTTTTTTTTTTTTTTTTTGGCCACATGTCCTGTACTCAATATTTTTTTTTTTTTTTTGATTTCTGTATGAAACAGTGAAATTTTTTTTTTTTTTTTTTATCACAGCAAGCTTTATTGAGATTTTTTTTTTTTTTTTTGATAGATTATAGACAGATAGATGATTTTTTTTTTTTTTTACAGACAGAAGTAGATGTAGACATGTTTTTTTTTTTTTTTGTATACTGGAGTCTGCCCAGCCCTGTTTTTTTTTTTTTTTTGTTAAGTATTCGAGAATTTTGTGAGATGGTTGCCAAATTTTGGTAGGTTGAAATTGACCATGGTTTTTTTTTTTTTTTTGTCTTAGTAATAATGGTTTTAGTCATTTTTTTTTTTTTTTCATAAAACTAGTAGATAAAAGATTGTTTTTTTTTTTTTTTTTACATGGTCTCAGAGGTTTCCCCCTTTTTTTTTTTTTTTATTTCAAAGGGAAAAACAAAACTTTTTTTTTTTTTTTTTTGGCAAATACACTTTCATCAAGTACTTTTTTTTTTTTTTTTCCTTACTGGGACAGTGTGCCTCCTGTTTTTTTTTTTTTTTATAAATTTCCAATTAGAGGTTCTCATTTTTTTTTTTTTTTGGGGGCTGAGAACTGGCATATGAGCTTTTTTTTTTTTTTTACAAACCACTGACTGTTCTCCAAACTTTTTTTTTTTTTTTGGGGTTGCCCTTCAAGCTTGGAACATTTTTTTTTTTTTTTGCTTCTGGAAAGTGCCTCCAGCTACTTTTTTTTTTTTTTTAATGTGTGTTGTTCTGCTATGTGGCTTTTTTTTTTTTTTTCCTGGAATACTTCCTGCACATTTTCTTTTTTTTTTTTTTTCTCTTAGTGTCCCTACCAGTAGCCCTTTTTTTTTTTTTTTGGTTACCTTTGTGGGACTCAGTTTCTTTTTTTTTTTTTTTGTCAATCATCAGCTGAAGGAAATCCTTTTTTTTTTTTTTTCAAAAAGAGAGATTTCATTGGCAGATTTTTTTTTTTTTTTTCAGAAGTAAATCAAAAGTGCAGTCCTCAGCCTCCCTTCTTGACTTCCCTCCCTCAGCCTCCCTATTTTTTTTTTTTTTTCAGAAGGCTGACGGGTGTTGCCTCGTTTTTTTTTTTTTTTAACATTCATCTAAATCCTTGGAAAGTTTTTTTTTTTTTTTAACAAATCTAGCTATCATGTCTAATTTTTTTTTTTTTTTTGCCCTCCCTGTTCCTCATCTTCTCGTTTTTTTTTTTTTTTCTTTCTGGCTGAAGAGTTGCCAGGTTCCATCTCTGGTCGTAACTGCTTACCCAGGAAGAAGTCCTTTTTTTTTTTTTTTTCTACCTTTTTCTTTAGCAGTGTCCATTTTTTTTTTTTTTTTGACATTTCCAGAACTCATCAGCAGCTTTTTTGGGGGAGCATTTTCAAATACTCCAACATTCTCATTTTTTTTTTTTTTTTCAGTGACAGCTGGGTTACCTGATCTTTTTTTTTTTTTTTGCAGACATCCTTCGGCTGGCCTCTATTTTTTTTTTTTTTTAAGCTGAGTTAGCCAACCTTGCAGCTTTTTTTTTTTTTTTAGACCCCTGTTCACTACAGGCTGTGTTTTTTTTTTTTTTTCCACACACTACATGTCAGCAGTCGGCAGGTAGCCTGACAGGACCCTTCATTGCAGAATATGTAAATTTTTTTTTTTTTTTTTAAAATGATTCTTTACCAATCTGTTTTTTTTTTTTTTTTTAATACCAGTAAAATATATTTTCAATTTTTTTTTTTTTTTCTTTGACAATTTATTGAAAGAAAGAGAAGTGGTAAAATTATATCTCAATACTGTTTATATCATGATTTTTTTTTTTTTTTGCCTGATAGCAAGTTTTAAATGCTGTTTTTTTTTTTTTTTCTCATCTCCTTCCCTAATCTCCTTCTTTTTTTTTTTTTTTTGACTTCTCTTGTTCTAAACATAAGTTTTTTTTTTTTTTTTTTAAAAATACAGACACATGCACTATTTTTTTTTTTTTTTCTAAGTTTATCAAAAACTAAACATCGTCATTTAACCACCACCAGATTTTACCTTTTGTTTGTCGTTTTTTTTTTTTTTTTTCATGCTGTTTACAGATTTATTAAATTTTTTTTTTTTTTTTTTTGGAAACACAGAGACATTTAATTTTTTTTTTTTTTTTGTAAGGAATGGAAAGAATACTGTGGTTTTTTTTTTTTTTTCAAAAGGAAATCATAGTGAAAATGCAAACTTTACCTGGAGCAATTATAATTTTCTCTACCAGTAATTTTTTTTTTTTTTTCATGATTCTCAACTGGAACCCATTCTTTTTTTTTTTTTTTCCCCTCTTTCAGGCCGGTGACTGAGTTTTTTTTTTTTTTTACATAGGAAAGACCACTACAGCAGTTTTTTTTTTTTTTTTTTCTGTGTCTTTGGAGTGACCAAAGTTTTTTTTTTTTTTTCCCTGACCTTTTAGCCTTGATCTATTTTTTTTTTTTTTTTGCATTAATGTAGACCATAATCTGCTTTTTTTTTTTTTTTTGCTGTTCAGGAAATGATACACAGCATTTTTTTTTTTTTTTCCTTGGAATAAAACTAGAAATCAATTTTTTTTTTTTTTTTGGAAACTCATACATTTGTGGAAGTTTTTTTTTTTTTTTTTAAGTGACCAGTGAGTCAAAGCAGAAATCAAAAGGGCAACAAGAAATTGTTTTGAGATGAACAAATTTTTTTTTTTTTTTTGCAAAACACAGGATGTAGCCAACACTTTTTTTTTTTTTTTAATTTATAGCTGTAATGTCTAAATTTTTTTTTTTTTTTTTTCTCAAATTGATAATAACCATTTACTTTTTTTTTTTTTTTAAGAAGAAGAGCAAATGAAACCTAATTTTTTTTTTTTTTTGAAAACAACAAAGACTAAAGTACAAACTCATGAAATGGAGAACAAGAAACAACAGAAAAATCAGTTTTTTTTTTTTTTTTAAGTGTCCAGAATAGACAAATCTATTTTTTTTTTTTTTTTTATATTGGTTGCTTAGGGTGATGGGGTTTGTGGTTGGGGGTTGATAGCTAAAATGTATGAGGGCTTTTTTTTTTTTTTTTCATTTAGTTTACAACAGTAATGGTCTTTTTTTTTTTTTTTTATCTTATAAACAATGGAATTGTACTTTTTTTTTTTTTTTATTATATGATACGTGAATTCTATGTTTTTTTTTTTTTTTTTTTGAAAAGGAGAGAGAAAGAAATAATAGTACACATACTTGTTAAGAGAAATAATGGATTTAAGATTTTTTTTTTTTTTTACTTCTTAACGCTTTCCACAAAGGGTTTTTTTTTTTTTTTGAGAGAGTCGATGTTCACTCCAAATTTTTTTTTTTTTTTTACATCCATGCTGTAGGCCCCAAAGGTTTTTTTTTTTTTTTGATATGGAAAATTAAAATGAGCACCTTTTTTTTTTTTTTTACTATACCTGCAGCAAGAAACCCACTTTTTTTTTTTTTTTAGATAAAGAGCCACAGACTTTCAGATTTTTTTTTTTTTTTATCTCCCATCAACTCCCTCAGAAGGTGGTTATCCGGTGCCAGTGATGCAGCTGGCCCTATGCTGGGGGTGATGGAGACACCAAGCTGAGTTAGATTCACCTCTGAGGTCAAGGAGCCCAGTCGTAGGAAGATAGAGACCCATTATTTTTTTTTTTTTTTTGCATGTATTGAGTGTGGATGATATATTTTTTTTTTTTTTTGTGCTTCAGTAGAACAATAGTGGAATTTTTTTTTTTTTTTTGTGGATTCAAGAAAGGTGGCGTTGTTTTTTTTTTTTTTTTATGCCCAGAGCGGATTCCTCTTCATTTTTTTTTTTTTTTGTAACACCCTGTTCTGAGTTCCTAGTTTTTTTTTTTTTTTTTCTCTACAATCCCTGCTAAAGCTCTGGAAAACCCCACTATCACCAGCTCCTCTGACCTGAAGTTTTTTTTTTTTTTTTTTCATTTTTGTAAGATGTGACAATCATTTTTTTTTTTTTTTAAAAAAATAGATCTCTCCAACACTGTTTTTTTTTTTTTTTCAGCTGAGTGACCACATGTCCCAAGTTTTTTTTTTTTTTTCTCAGATTACACTTGTCGTTCCTGCTTTTTTTTTTTTTTTACAGGTGTAGACAGCAAATAATAGGTTTTTTTTTTTTTTTGCATTTCTAGCACCCTTTCTGTTTTTTTTTTTTTTTTTTTGGAAGTAGTGGGAAGGTTTAATAGTTTTTTTTTTTTTTTTATTCTCAGAAAAACCATGAAGGGATTGAAATTGTTCCAAGTTCCCCATTGTAACTTTCCCATCTTTTTTTTTTTTTTTTTACAAGTACCAAATGCTTGCTTACCCTTTTTTTTTTTTTTTCTACACTCAACACTTTGATATGATCTTTTTTTTTTTTTTTTAAAGTATGTATTTAATCTCCCAGATTTTTTTTTTTTTTTAGTTATCAGATAAGTAAATCCTGGCTTTTTTTTTTTTTTTAGAAGGCCCTTTTCCCCTGCTGACTTGCCTTCTCACGGGAGCCAATCCCTGTTAGGTGTCTCTCTTTTTTTTTTTTTTTTCCCTGCTTTTGTCTGGTCACTGCAGTTTTTTTTTTTTTTTACTGTTGACTCCATGGCAGGCAGCTTTTTTTTTTTTTTTTAGCTCAGAACCCCATGGCTGTGCTCTTTTTTTTTTTTTTTGGGTGACAGGCTTGCCTTTCTCTGCTTTTTTTTTTTTTTTTCTCACCAACACATCTCCATACTGGTTTTTTTTTTTTTTTATCTAAGCACAAAACAGATCACTACTTTTTTTTTTTTTTTCAGACTCAAGTCCCAGAAGGACATGTTTTTTTTTTTTTTTGAGCTGTAAGTGACATTTTATAATGTTTTTTTTTTTTTTTTTTCTGTACATAAAGATAAAAGACCATTTTTAGGAAGCTCGAACTCAGTGGACTACCCCTTGGAAACGGACTGTGATCTTACTTTCTACCTGTCCCTAGATTCATTCTTTATATTTCTAATTAAAACTCATCTTGTTTTCATACCTTTTTTTTTTTTTTTCTGGTGAAGGTTGGAGACAGCAATGTTTTTTTTTTTTTTTATTCTTCATCCTCAGCTATAGAGATTTTTTTTTTTTTTTTTCCCACTGGACCAAAAGGCTAGAGTTTTTTTTTTTTTTTTTAGTCTCACATTACTTGTGGTGATCTTTTTTTTTTTTTTTAATATGTTGAAGAGGCATCCCTTATTTTTTTTTTTTTTTTTGACTGTATATGACGTTATGGCAGGTTTTTTTTTTTTTTTTCAATAGAGAACCTAGATATCTAGCTTTTTTTTTTTTTTTGTGGGGCAGGGGTGGGAGTGGGGAGTTTTTTTTTTTTTTTGTGGTCTCCTGCCTCTCTATCTCAGTCTCCTTTTAAGTGCAAATGCTCCACGTGGTAGGGAACTGTTTTTTTTTTTTTTTAGACAGGAACAAGACCTAGCCCTTCTTTTTTTTTTTTTTTGTAGAAAAGGATTGGTGACAGATGGTTTTTTTTTTTTTTTCCTCAAACCAGCTCTGTCTTTAATACACCTACAGCATGGGCGACTTGAAAAAGTTATGCTATGATTTTTTTTTTTTTTTTAAAAGTAGGTAATACTTAAGACTAGTTTTTTTTTTTTTTTGAATAATGCAATTCCATGAAAATTCTTTTTTTTTTTTTTTTTATTCCATAAATAGAAGGAAAAAGAAAGGGATAATTCTTTTTCCCAACTTGGGGCTGGACTATCTTTTTTTTTTTTTTTGAACTTTCTCTTATCTTCCACAACTTTTTTTTTTTTTTTTATGTATACTTCCAGCTGTCATGATATTTTTTTTTTTTTTTAGGAAGAGAGAGACAGTTCCTTCACTTTTTTTTTTTTTTTTATAAAAAAATCAGTTAAATCACATTTTTTTTTTTTTTTTACTGAATGTCTTTTCCAAGATCAAGTTTTTTTTTTTTTTTCCCACTCTCAACATTCTTACTGAAGTTTTTTTTTTTTTTTTTAATACATGAGACAAGAAAAAGAATTTTTTTTTTTTTTTATTGGAAAGGAAATAATAGAATTGTTTTTTTTTTTTTTTTACATAATTGTCAATGTATAAAATGTTTTTTTTTTTTTTTTAAGACTTCTAGAATGAAGTTAAGTTTTTTTTTTTTTTTTTATACAAACTCAACACACAAAATTATTTTTTTTTTTTTTTTACAACAATCAATATCTGAAAATACATTTTTTTTTTTTTTTTTTACAGTTACTCCAACAAAAATGATTTTTTTTTTTTTTTAATCTAACAAAAGATGTACAGGATCTCCATGCTGAAAACTACAAAATGTTCAGGAAAGAAACAAATTTTTTTTTTTTTTTGAGGCATACTATATTCATGGAATGATTTTTTTTTTTTTTTAGATACAGATTATACCCAGGTTGTTCTATTGGTTTAATTCAAGCTTGTCCAACTTGTGACCTGCAGGCCTCATGCAGTCCAGGATGGCTTTGAATGTAGCCCAATTTTTTTTTTTTTTTTTTCTTAAAACATTTTGAGTTTTTTTTTTTTTTTTTTTTTTAATTTTGTAATTTGACTATGCGATTTTTTTTTTTTTTTTTTGTAGATGACAGTGGAATGGAAAGGTTTTTTTTTTTTTTTTCACATCCACAAATAATGGACTAGTTTTTTTTTTTTTTTTTATAATTGCAAACAGTTCAGCTAGATTTTTTTTTTTTTTTTTAAAATTAACTAACAAAATAAAGATTTTTTTTTTTTTTTTGCAATGCTACGTGAAGTGAATTGTGACAAAGAATTCAAATGTGTATTCTGGACAAGGCAGAGTGTTTTTTTTTTTTTTTCACTCTCGCCATTTGTATGCATGTGTTTTTTTTTTTTTTTGGTGGTGTGCGACTTCCAGTGTGTTATCTACCAATCATGGACAGTTGAATTGACACCATCAGATATTAGGTGTGTTTGTGGTGACTTGGCAAGTAAAACACAGCGTTTTTTTTTTTTTTTTCAACCTACTTTTGTAAATGATAGGTTTTTTTTTTTTTTTAGAAGATATGTAAGTATTCTTATTTTTTTTTTTTTTTTTTCTATTTTCCTGTTAATTTTCATAATTTTTTTTTTTTTTTTTGCTTATCTATTATAATGCTTTTAATTCCAGAATGGCTTCCACAATGTCTTAGAAAGAAAACAGAACCCTAAAAAAGAAAAATTATGGATGAAGGAAGATTGTTCTTTTTTTTTTTTTTTAATGACTATTTTTCTTGTTGAGGCAAATAGCGAAGCACTCTGCTTAATTTCTATGGAATTTGTGTTTTTTTTTTTTTTTTACAGTTTGAAGAGGCATTATATGCATTTTTTTTTTTTTTTATTTGGTGTGTTTGTGTTGTAAGGATTTTTTTTTTTTTTTGAAAAAAAGTCTCTTTTCAACAAAATTTTTTTTTTTTTTTGTTACAACTCAAACGAACTCTATCGTAAGGTAAAAACTAGTTATGTGTTAACAAATTTATTAGCATTTTTTTTTTTTTTTTTTACTGATAGTGAGTTTATTAAGCTTTTTTTTTTTTTTTTGGTAGATATTATTTGCCTTTAGAATTTTTTTTTTTTTTTATCAGTTTGTCTCACCAGACTATAGTTTTTTTTTTTTTTTAAATTGGGAAATCTATTGAAAGATGTTTTTTTTTTTTTTTTGCTAATTTAAAATTGTATGCTTTGTTTTTTTTTTTTTTTACTGACTGACACTACAGATATGGCACAACTTGCTCTTTTTATTGGACGTATTGATGATGAATATAATGTCACTGAAGAAATGGAAGTGTCACTGTGCCATTAAAATTTTTTTTTTTTTTTAGAGATTTATACAAAGCAATGAAAATTTTTTTTTTTTTTTTTTCTTTGTCCATTGTAAACATATCTTTTTTTTTTTTTTTTGGTGCCCTGGTGATGGTAGGTAAATTTTTTTTTTTTTTTCAATTAATAGAAGATGATGCAATTGTTTTTTTTTTTTTTTGTTTGATCAAGTATTATTGCATAATTTTTTTTTTTTTTTTATGTGCACAAGCTTTAAAAATGGATTTTTTTTTTTTTTTTGTCATGAAGGCTGTAAATTTTACAATTTTTTTTTTTTTTTATCATCGCTAGTTCCAGGAATTCCTTTTTTTTTTTTTTTTTGACTCTAGCAACGTCATTCCCTTTTTTTTTTTTTTTTTTTTAAGTCAAGGCGACATGTAAAGATTTTATGCTTTGTGATGTGAAATCAAGCCGTTTATGGTATCAAACACAAAATTTGTGCCAGAACTTGCCAATGAAAACTGGTTTTTTTTTTTTTTTTTTTTAGTGGATTTGACAGCCCATTTTTTTTTTTTTTTTTTGTGTCTTCAAGGTGAAAACCAACTTTTTTTTTTTTTTTTTCAAACCATAACAGCATTCCAAATGTTTTTTTTTTTTTTTCAAGCTCGAATTAAGGCAAACAACTTTTTTTTTTTTTTTTTGTTGGCTAAACATGGTCCTGTGAACGGTCAAAAATATGCAGCCTTGTTTTTCAATTTGATACAGTTTTTTTTTTTTTTTTATTTCAGGATTTCTGAAAAAATTATTTTTTTTTTTTTTTATTTACGACTCCATTTTCAGTTGACTTTTTTTTTTTTTTTGCCAATTTTCAAATGGAATGCC